ACTTTTAAATGTAAGAAAAATTAATGTGGAAACTAAAGTACACATATTTATTTTAAAACATTTATTTTGTGATACTTGCTAATAAATTTGTAAGGAACAAAGAATGATCCAACCTACTTAAAAGATCTTGCACACGAATGTTCGTTGCAGCACTGTTTACGATAGCAAAGACCTGGAACCAACCCAAATACCCATTGATGATAGATTGGACAGGGAAAATGTGGCACATATACACCATGGAATACTATGAAACCATAAAAAAGGATGAGTTCATGTCCTTTGTAGGGACATGGATGAACCTGGAAGCCATCATTCTCAGCAAACTCACACAAGAACAGAAAATCAAACACCGCATGTTCTCACTCATAGGTGGGTGCTGAACAGTGAGAACACATGGACACAGGGAGGGGAGCATCACACACTGGGGTCTGTTGAAGGGAAATAGGGGAGGGACAGTGGGGGGTGGGGAGTTGGAGAGAGATAGCATGGGGAGAAATGCCAGATATAGGTGATGGGGAGGAAGGCAGCAAATCACACTGCCATGTGTGTACCTATGCAACAATCTTGCATGTTCTTCACATGTACCCCAAAACCTAAAATGCAATTAAAAAAAGACCTTAATCAAAAAAAAGACCTTAATCTCAAATGAAGTAAAATATATAATCAGCAAGATTCTTATTAACTTGTAGAAATGTAGTTTATTTCATGCAAAGCCACATACTTTCTTATATTTTAACAGCTAATCAAACATTTCAAAAATTCATTACATCACAATAAATTAAAATACTACAAAGGAACTGCAAGTCAATGAATTTATCAAAACCAAACTGAGAGAACACTATGCATAAATAAGGCTAAAGTTACTAATTTTGCTTATAGGTAGCACTTTGCAGCTTTTTCCAAATACATATTTGAAAACGTAGTGAGAATCAACAGAGAAAAAAAATAGTTAAATCTACAACTCAATGATCAGATAACAAAACATTTGTCACACATATCAGGTAGCAATGGCTGATTAAAGATAAATTTGGCATCATGCACCAAGAATGACCACAGTAACACTTTGAAAAATTATGATCATATGCACATTTGAAAAGATTAATTTTCCACTTCACCTAATCAACTGAATTAGATAAAGGCAAAATAACAAGTATTTTATTAATGCAATGCAGAAATTAGGTTTTTGATATATTAATAATTTGCTTGAGTATTGTATACATAAAAATCAAGGGAAACAGGAGTATTTTAAGCTCATACTGGACTACTGAACTTTAGAATATTACCCTAAGGAAATAGGTCTGGGCAGAACTTATTTGAGAAAGATTTCAAAACTATTTAAAAGCAATACTACAATTAGTTACTTACAAAAACATTTATAAAAATTAAATATCAGAAAGTGAGAACATCAGTATTAGAACTCTGTTGTATTATTCAATGTTATAATTTATAAATACATATTAGATTATAGTAATTTAAAACACAGAACCACATATTTTCTACCTTCTAAAATAAGAAAAATCCTTCAAGTTGTTTTTAAAATATGAACAAAAAACAAATCCATTGGATTGCTTTTAAAAAATAAATACAGTCTCTCCCCTACAACTTGGTATACTAAATAGGGAAGATGCTTGCCAGCATTGTTGAGAAATACAGTTCCAAATGAGTAGGCTAATAACATTTATGTCAATATCAACTCTAAATGGTGTTGTACAGTCAGTTTAAATAAATTATGATTTTACCCTACATATGTCTGCCATAGTGAACCATTCTTTCTATTCTTCTGAACTAAGTACAGTAAAATTCTTTCACAAAATGATTTGAGATCAAGAAAACTACAGAAGGAAACATTTTCAGTGAAAAAAAGTTAATTTTTCCCAAGGAGTAGGTAAAAAACAAATGTCTTTTAGGATATCGATGAGAAGAGTAACATGCCAATATTCTTGCTTTATTAACAGATTTTTAAAATTACAATGAGTTCTCAATTGACCTAATGGACAAATGTTTTGAAAACAGAAATAAAATTTTAGTTAAATCAATCTGGGTATGGAAGGAATCAGAGGTGAAGACATGTTCCTGCTGCAGTGGGAAGGAAGAGAGAGCAGGACTACAGCCTGCCCTGCTGGGGGAAATAGCTCCTAGGCCCTGGCCTCCAGGAGTTGCGAAAGGGGAAAACATTGCCTGGTCTTCTGAGTCTCTGGGCAAAAAGTCACTGAGTTGGAAAGAAGTACCTCATATAGATGGGAATTCATATTTTAGAAGGCCTTCTGTAACTTTCTTATATTGTTTCAACTTTCCTAAGAAAAGTTTTGATGATGTATATATCATTTATTAATTCCTCTTCATAAAAAGATGTCTCAAGAATCTAAATAAATCTTAAATTTTTTTGAAATCTATTTTATGTAAAAATATTACACTGAAAATAATTTCGTTTAGGTCACTAAGGAGGACATTTCTTTTAGTGACCTAAAAGAAATTTTTCTGAGTATACCACTCATCAAAAACGACTATGTACACAAAACAGAAGGAAAATCTTTCAGCACAAGTCATGCTATAAACATAGGCCTCAGAAAGGAAAAAGGTATAAAAGAATGAGAGAGGACATAAGGAAAGATGAAAAAACCCTAAAACTTCTAAACATTCAGAATTTAACACCAATCCATTACATTTGGAGATTCAAGTATGCTAAGATTTTTCAGGGACATATTTTGTCACTTAGTGCAAAAACATTTGTAATTTTTAGGCATGGTCCACTCAAATCATAAGTACAAAACTCACCTTACTAAACAGTGTGAATTGCAATATGGAGAGTTTATTTTTTCTCTAATATGGTAATCAGTACATCATCAAGAATGTTCCCTAAACCTATTAATGCTATAAAAATGAGGTTACTGAACATAAACTAAATTTCTCCATTAATATGCTAAAATATACTTTTAAAAAAACACACACATTGATTTTCCTATGCTAATTTACTTTGGGCATACATCCAGCTTAAATTTCAGAACTGATCACCTAATCAAATAGTAATCCAAAAAAAATCAACTAGCAGAATTTTTTTGAATGTCTGGATTGTCAAATTTTCTGATCTATTCTTTATAAAGGGAAAACTCTTGAATCTTTTGATTTAGTTCTTACCATTTTTGTAAAATGAGGGCCTCTTATGCAATGAGATTATTCAAAAGCCCTTGTATTCATTTGGTAAGAGAGCAAATTTTAATAATTAAACTTATATTTTCTTTTGTTTTTTACAAAATTCTCTATTGATAACAAGTTATTTATGTTGTAAATGAAGTTAATTAGTAATTTAAAGATGATTCATGAAATTAATAGATTATTATTATTTTCTGCAATAGTTATTCTGAATTACTGGCTTACTGAAATTCTTACCTAATAACTATTTACAAAATAATTTGAAAATTTTTAAACAGATATTTATTATCGAGTATTAAAGTCATCAAAAATTACTGAAAATAAGAAATGTACTTTGCGGCTGGGTGCGGTTGCTCACACCTGTAATCCCAGTACGTTGGGAAACCAAGGCGGGCGGATTCCCTGAGGTCAAGAGATTTAGGCCGTCCTAGCCAACATGGTGAAACCCCATTTCTACTGAAAATACAAAAATTAGCTGGGCGTGGTGGTGTGCGCCAGTAGTCCCAACTACTTGGGAGGCTGAGGCAGGAGAATTACTTGAAACCGACAGGCAGAGATTGCAATGAGCTGAGATTGCACCACTGCACTCTAGCCTGGTGACAGAGGGAGACTCCATAAAAAAAAAAAAAAAAAAAAAAAAGAAAAAGAAAAGAAAGAGAAATTTACTTTGCATGTAAAGTACATGAATTTAGTAGTACTATTTTACAGTAGATGTCACTAAATTTTAATAAGCTTCTCAAAACAGAAAACTTGTACCCACTACAGTTTTTTACACAAGGTGGCTTAACAAATATTAACTTGGCTCCCCAGCAATAAACTCAGTCTTCAGGGGTCAAGTCATTGCCTTCTGAATTTGAATTTATCCAACAAAATAACACTTTCATATGATCATATATAACATTCTGTAAGATAAATTCTGCTTAAAAAGTTGAATAATCTGAATCACTGAAACAACAAAATGTTATTTTAAATATAATGTGAAAGTCATAGAGGAATCTATACTGTTTGTGAAGTATATGCATATATATACTTCAATTATTATAAACATAAAAAATTTAATACTAAAGGAAAGTGGTAACATTACCTTATACATTCCTACCAATTTATCTTAGGGCATTATAAAAGTTATAAAAGTAATTGGTTAATTTCTTTGCCTTTTCTGCTTCTATTTCAATAACAGCATCTGAATTTCATGACAAACCTGATGAGAAACCACATTATACTTAAGAAATGATTCCAAAGTAAACCCAAAGACTAAATAAAACAAAACTACTTTCACAGGACTTTTGATGAATTGGTCCAAAAAGCATTTTGGCTTTAGGGACTTGTAAGCTTTTCTGTAATAACAAGAAACTAGACCCCTTTCTGCGATGATCATTTCTCCCATCTAATATTTTCAAGTATCACTAGGAAAAACAGCACAATTCTAAACTGCAGTACATAAACACCAACTCGACTTCCTTGTGATAGCTTTGTAAGGTAGCAGGTAAATAGCAAGTATCATCTTCATTCTGCAAATGAAGGTGCAGAATGAAGCTCTTGAAGCACTGAAAAGCTACATGATTTGCCCAAGGTATTCAATGAGTCAATCATGAAATTACAAACCCAGCATCAAATTATCTCTGCTCCTGGCATATTGCTCTCTGACCACACTTCACATTAAAAGACTGTATGTATGTGTCCTCACGTGTAGTCTATATGGCCTTCAATTCAGAGTAAGTCTATCCACTGATAATTATTTTTAAAGGGATCTAATCTCAAAGATCACAAAAACTCAAAGATCAAAGTTTTCAGATAATGAGAATTATGCCGTATTCCTTTCAATATCTATATGGAGCTATGCTTTTTTAAAAAACTTACGTGATAATATATATTAAAGAGAAAAATAAAAAGTTTCTATGTATGTCTTGGAGAAAGATTAACTTCAAGTTAGGGGAACCATACAATTCATTTCCAAACTGGGATACTTGAGGGTGAAACTGAGCACTAGTAATAAACAGGATACTAGGTGTTACACTGAGATTGTATTAGGCAAGCTGACGTATGGTCACCTAATGTAGCATGGATTCAGTAAGAGTTGCAAATATTCTAGGAACATAAGAAACCCTCTGCAAGCATGCTATAATCAAACATGTTCACTTTGCAATAAAACATTAGTGCTTTAAAATATAATACATAAATTTAGCTTAAACACAAAGGTTAAAAAACAATCTATTTAATAAGAATGTTTAACCAACAAGTTATTATACATTTCCCTTCTAATATAGTTTTGTTTTATATAAACCACAAATTATCAGTAATAACAGTAAATGGATTCACTTTTTACCTTTGACTAGCCAAATTTTTTCTCAAAAAGTATAAACAGGTACCTTTAAATATTAAAGAATTTTGTTGGACTCTTTGACTGCTAAAAAAGAAAAACTATTTTCCACTAATGCCTAGAATTTATCCTTGAATGGCAAGATTTAAATCAATATGTTAAATGATAAATGTGAACATAGCTTTCTGAAATGAAAACTTTTTATAAAGCAATACCAGAAGCATAAAAAAACCCAGTTACGACAAAGATTGAAGGAATATTATATCACCTGATTACAGTATACATGCTAAATACACACTTATCAGTTGAAGTATAATCTTAATCTTATACATGCAAAAATCCCCCACTACTTTGCAAACAGATTTGAAAAAGTACTTTTTACATTCAGTTATGTCTAGTAAGTAAGCCTTGTTTTTAAGATACGAGTTTTACAAATACAGTTATTATTTAAGGTCTCCACTCACTTACATTTTTTTGGGAAATACAAGTTGAATATAGTTTTTAGAAATAACAAAAAGGTAACAATAAAACTGTATAATATTATTTAGTATGACTTATGGCTTCCTTGAATCTTTAACTCTCCCAAAAAAAAAAATTAAACTGAAACAAACTGAACTGTATGTTCTTAACATATGTTGAGCTTTTAAACAATTCTTCCACTGTAACTGTACTTCTAAGGCAGATGCTTAGGAAATGATATGTAATAAATCTTGTTGGAAAAGATGATATTGTATTCAATGAACATTAAACTATTATTTCTCTAAGATATAATTAATTCTCAGAGCTTTTTTTGTTATCTTGACACTTTTTACTGAGCGTATAGAGGAAATTCTAGGGTACACAGATGTTCAACAAGACCGATCTGATGTGTTGACCTTGGTTAGTGGTCCCACAAACTTTTTCAGACTTTAAACATCATTAAATATGTCACTGCGAGACATTGAGAGATATCGTCCACCAGGCTGATACCTAAAAGGTGAACATAAAGAAATAATCTGAAGGGTCAAAAATAATAAAGGAAGAGACAAAACCAAGAATACATTAAAAGGAAGTGGCCACATAATTTGTAAGCACTGTAAAATCTAGTCAGTAGCTGAAAGTAGAAACTTACCCTCCAATTACATTTTCCAAAAGGACTTAATTATAAATCAACCACCAATTGTTTTAGAGCCTAGAATATATGCATGACAGAGTGAGAGATGTAAAAAGAAGGGGTGGGGATGTAAGACACATCTGGGAGATTAATCAATTTAATAACCACTCTCAATTGTTGCATATAAATATAACCTAGGTTTTTACTGCATATAGGCAATACTATAGTAAACATTTTCATGCACATGATATTTTGCTTTTATTTAATTATATCCTCATAGCACAATGGCTGAAAGTACAGACTCTGTAGCCAGAGTACTGGGGTTTGAATGCCTGACTTGCCATTTACAAGTTGTGTGACTCTAGGCAGTTTACTGAGCCTCTCTGGACTTAAATCCAATTGAATTTGCAACCATGCAATTACAATATTTTTGTTAAAGAGCTTAGAATAGTTCTGGCATCTAGACACTGCGATGCAGCAGTTAATAAATATAATAAAATTTCACAAATGGCACAGTCAGAAATAGGCATATAAATATTGTCCCCATCCTTTGCTATATATTTCAATTATTTATACTTTTTTATTTATAATAACACTAGTATTGTGTGGAGATAACGATTTCATTTACTGCTACTGGATAATAATTTTTAAAATATAAAAGCATTAAAAAGTCTAAAAAGGTATCAAAGATTACTTAATATTTTTTATTATTAGAGAAAATGAACATTTTTCTTTACTTATAACTTGTTTACTTTTACCTTTACTCACTTGTTTTCAACCTTGTCAATAAGTTATCAAAATTGCAGAGGAATGCTAGAGCTAAAATGTCACAGCCAGAACTTACCTTCCTGATTCAGATTCAAGAGGATCATCAGTGAATGTTTCTGCATTAAAATCCAAAGGTTCTGCATCTTGGAGAAGTTCTATCCGGTCCCTTTCAGTCCTGTTATTAGCCCTGGTATATTTGAACGCAGCTGCAAAGGAAGGAGGAAAAATGTCTACTTCCCTACTGTCTTTTAATTTATGCGTCATAGTCTATGGAGCTACAGAGAGAAAAATCAAAATTCCAAGGAATCTGAATTTTCATTGTGAAGACAAAGAACATAAGATAACTACATGTTTACTTAAAATCAGATTAAAATTATAAGCAGTATGATAGAATATAGCAAGGAAAAGCAGATACAGTGCAAACATTTTAATAATATAACTCAGAATTAACATGTAACTATGGTATCACAATGGAGAAACTGTTCATTAACAACAGTAGTTTGAGTTGGTTTTATAGTTAACTTCATTTCTTGGCTAGGACTTTAAGGTGTAATCAGCTCAAACTCTTAAAAAAAGGTGTCAGTCTTTTTACCATAAGGCAAGAGTATGGGTAGCACTAGCCAACAGAAATAGAATGCATGCCGACATTTAATTAGAAATTTTCTAGTAGCTATGTTAAAAAGTAAAAAGAAACAAATGAAATTAATTTTAATATATTTAACACAATATATCAAAAATATTATCATTTCAATATGTTGCAACTGCTCAATAGTTACACGTGGCTAATGATTATCATACCAGACAGCAGATATAGAAAACTAACTCTCCTTTCTCTATGTGGATGTCAATTTCTTTATAAACAAACCAAATTTTCACAATGTTGTCCAGAAGAGTCCAAGTAGCTTTACAATAGCTTTATGATACAGTTCTTTCTGAAAACTTAAGGCAAGCCAATTCTATCACATTTTTATATTTCTGTAAGCTTGGACTTTGTCCTAAATGCAAGTCTCTTCATCTTTTCTCTCACTCATTCGGCAAATTGCAATTGCCCAATACATGCAAGATTCTCTCTAATTTATCATCCTATAGCTTTGTGACTCCTCTTCTCCTAAGCGTTGCCAGAGCTTTCCATTCTGTAAACTTCCTTCCACTCTATGGTAAGCAAGTGTCCAAATCCCTTTACGGAATCCTCACTATTTCCCAGGTTTAACTAAAGCTTTAGCTCCTTCCTATTTATTCTACCCTGAAGTCCTTCAAATAAATCCTTTTCTTGTCATCTCCAGGACCACTGCCTTATTTTAGACCCTAATCATTTCTTGACTGCATCACCAAAACAGTCTCTTAAATGGTTTCTACGTCTCACTTCCCTAAAAATTATGCTTTATACTGCCATCAAATTCATCTTTCGAAACAAAAAATCTTACCATACTTCTTCCCAGATTGAAATCTTACCATTAGGTCAAAATCCAAACTTTTTTTTGAGATGGAGTCTTGCTCTGTCACCCAGTCTGGAGTGCAGCAACGCAATCTTGGCTCACTGCAACCTCTGCCTCCTGGGTTAAAGAGATTCTCCTGTCTCAGCCTCCTGAGTAGCTGGGATTACAGGTGCCTGCTACCATGCCCGGCTACTTTTAGTATTTTTACTAGAGATGGGGTTTCACCATATTGCCCAGGCTATTCTCAAACTCCTGACCTCAGGTGATCCGCCCACCTCAGCCTCACAGGTGTGAGCCACCACGCCTGGCCCCAAATCCAAACTTTAGAGCATGACAATATCTGTTCCCCAAGCAGCTCTGGGGTCTCCTCTCTTGTTACCCTTCCTATGCTTAGGCTTTAGTTGCAGAGAAAAACATACATTTTCCCAAAGGTTCTCTTATGACACAGCATCCTGTACTTAGTCTCCCTTCTAATTAAAATACTCTTCACCTGGCTAAGTACTATTCATTTCTAAATACCCAGCTAAGCATGTCCTTATTACAGAAATATTTCTTCATTATAAAAACTTTTTCCTAAGATAAGCCCTCTTTTTCCATTCACCAAGCTGAATTCCTTCTGCATCAGGTGTGCATCTTTCCATCAGAGCTGTCAATGAGAAGTCTACAATATCATACATAGTCTGTAATTAAAATATTTTTAACATTTCCATTTAGCTCTTTTGTATAGTTTCCATCTCTCTGGTGAAATTCCCATCTGTTCATGCACATTGTCCAAGTTTTCTATCAGATTATTTAACATACTAATTGGTTATTTTAAAGTCACTGCACTGTCTGATAATTTTAACATGTGAGCCACCTCTAGGTCTGGTATGCTCAGTATTTTATATTTTGAAAATGGCTCATATTATCTTACTTTCTTGTATTTCTCATAATTTTGGGTTAAAAGCCATACATTATGTGTAAAGAAAGAAAAAAATGTAGAGAAATCAAAGTTTTATGCCCAAATTGGGCACACCTCTTCTATTAGATCATCACTGTTGAGAGCTGATGTAGTTGATCCGAGTTTGGACTTGGTTATTGCTTTAGTTTCTTTAAGTCCCCACAGACTTCACATTTCTCTAGTGATGAAATGCTATGACCTTGTACTTAGTAGGGCCTCAAGTGCCAGATGGTTCCTCTCAGTATTCTTTTTCCACTCTTAGATTTCAGTAGTCCTTCCATGGATATTCCACAGAGGGAGTCTTCTCCATGTTTCTATTCCTCATCCATTGGTACTCAGTGCGAAACTCATAGCTGAGTGGGAGAGGGTGCTCAGTTTTTCCTCCCCCATCCTCAGTCTTAAATCCTGTGCACTAAAGCCTCACTGGTGGGACTCTTTCAGCAATCTTACATCTCTCCCCAAAACAACCTCTTCCTTCTACTCAGCTCAAGGTCCTGGGCAAAAGCTGGTTTCTTGGTACCTCCTAAATAGCTTCTGCCTCATGTCAGTGTGGGATCAGTGATTCAGGAAGGCTTCCTAACCCACCTGATGGCAGATGACTTCTGTCTGTTATCAGTCCCTCACTCAGTTATAACATCCTGAGGACAAGAAATATATCTTCTTTGTATTGCTGTATACCTGGAAATATACCTAACTTATATGGGTCAGTCAATAAATTATTATAAAAATGATCGAATAACCTACACCTACTAATAGGAAAGAAAAACATCAAGGTAAATGGTAGAAATAAATACCTGCCTAGAAAATACCTGGGATGAGTGCTTACATTATGTAGGGTTAGTATACTTACAACTATTCATTTGATGCCACAGTTTCTCCTTTCCCCACCAGAGTATATATTTGAACTACCCTTCCTTCTATATATTGAGAAATGTTAAAAAAAAAAAAAAAAGTCACTGCAAACACACATTTATAATTCTACAAAGGCATTACTGGATGAGTATTCTAACACTCAATCTCTATGCAAGCAAGCATAAGAAAACACTTTCCAAGTGAACTAGAAGATAAACTACTTACACCGGTTGGTATTAACATCTGAAAAGTTTGACTCTTTTTGGTCAGTATGAATATTTCTGTTCCTAGTAGAATCTTCTCTAGTGTGTCCATAACGTTCTTTCCATTCCTAGAAAAGAAACACAAGTAAATATATAATAAGAGAACAGAAAATAATTCATTAATGTCAAGAGATGATGTATGCAATATAACTTAATTATTTTCATCAGAAATTCATTAGCAATCAATATAATTATCCTAGCATCTTTAAAAGTCATAGGTCAATGTTTTCATTTTTCCATGATTTATTGAAGTCAGTCTCTATAAACTTTTACAAATGACATAGAGACATTCTGCTAACTTTGATTTTTACTCATCTATCTAAAATGTAAAACAATATTACTATGACAAGTTTGCCTTGACCATACAAAAGTTATGAGAACCCATAATGACTAATAGATGTTAACAAAATTTTCTTTCACTCAAATAAACTACAAATATTAAAGAGCTAAAACATCAACAGAAAAGTTGTATACATAGTCTATGACTCACATGGCATTATGAGTTATCCTAAATGCAGTAAAACCATATTAACTAGATTCTACTCATTAAATTCTTAGAATTGAAAGGGACATCAGAAATCACATAAGGCAACTTTCCATGCAGTGCGGGGTCCCATTCTAAAACCTCCTTGCCAGATGCATTTTGGCTCTCTGACTAGACAGCATGTAATTTTCTATGTCTGAGAAGCCTATTGCAATTCTGGTAAATTGCATAAATTAGAACTTCTCATAGAGAGGAGAAATCTATCTCTAGTAACTTCTACTCTTTGGTTCTAGTTCTGCCTTCTAAAATAAAGAAGATACACATATTTGAAGATACACAAAGACAACTATAAAGTTTCCTGTTAGTCTTTGCCAGTATATATACCCATTTGTTAAAAATGTGTGGTAATTATAATTAGATTTTACTCATTTTTTGCCTTTTCACTTTCTAGGTTAGTTTATCTCAGAAAATGGAGGCTTAAAGAAAAAATAAGGAGGAATAAAATTAATGTCACATCATTAAAAAAGAGAAACAATTTTAAAGCAATCAAAGTCACTTTAACAGCAAGAATATATGTATTTATTTATTCATTCAACAAATATTCATTGAGCAGCTACTTTAGGCAAGAAGCGCTCGATACTAAATAGGAAGTAATTTATTACTAATGACTTTTAGAACAGGTCTGTCAGGATACTTAGTGTGCACACCTGAAAGTATTAAAATTCCCTTTCTTTAAAAATACATATTTTAACATTTTCCCACTTTTTTCTATCTTTAGCTAATTATTCCAAATTAATAATATTCTTAAGAAATTTTATTTCAAAATAATCTTCAGATTACAGAAAATTAATACTGTACTTACTCTTCTTCGATTCTCACCTTCTTCTTGCCTTTGTTTTTTTCTCTTCTCTAAACACAGAAAAATAGTGTCAAATATGGCATAACATGGTTTAATCAGACATAGTGTAACTGAACTAAAGATATCAAATTATGTGATATTTATTTTAAATTACCACAAAATCAGATGTTATAGATTATTGCTGGAAAGAATTTTGAGAAGTTACCTCACTCAATAAACAGTGAATGCCTTCTCTATTTTTGTTGGAGATGGCCCTGTAGTCTCTGTTTAAATAACTTTAGGGAAGAAAGAGTTCTTTTTCACAATGAAATTTGTTTCTTTGTAAATCATATTCTCTTTTATTGCTGTCTTCTAAGTTAAGTTCATACTTCTTTTCTTTCTGTATGAGTCTTTTTCTATGTTACTCTCTTTAGGTTACAAACATGGTGTTTTTCACTTTTTTCCCATAGGATACACTCTACAGACTCAAAATTCTAGCTGTCCTTCTCTAAATACTTTCTAATTTATCAGTCTTATTCTTTAAAATCTTACCTAGGACTGGAGGTGCTATGTCATATGAGGTCTAACAGGAGAACATGTGAAGGCTACACTAGATTATTTTGGAGCTGTAATACATTTTGGCTTACATTCAACTCATAATTACACAAAAGCCCCAGACTCAAGTAGGGAGAATGTCTAAGAACCAAAGTCCCAAAAGTCAAGACTTTTTTCCCTCCATGGTACTATCACTTTCAACATCAACAAATTTAATACACTTAGTTTTGTGATGTGATTCTACTAGCGTGCCATGTATTCTAACAGGCTGTTAATGATCATCACATTCTAAAAAAGTAGCTTTTGCCTGAATGATCTTCTATGCAGTATCAAACTGATCATTCTTTAAATTAATGAGCTTTATAGTTGTACAGAACTTGGCAAATATGTTTCAAGGTAAACATGAAAATGATTCCAAGACCATACAAGGGTGTTATCGAGCTGAAAACCTACTAATATTTAAGCTTCAGAATTTCTTTTTTTTTTTGAGATGGAGTTGCTTTTATCTCCCAGGCTGGAGTGCAATGGCACGATCCCGGCACACCTCAACCTCCACCTCTAGGTTCAAGTGATTCTCCTGCCTCAGCCTCCCGAGTAGCTGGGATTACAGGCATGTACCACCATACCTGGCTAATTTTGTATTTTTAGTAGAGACAGGGTGTCTCCATGTTGGTCAGGCTGGTCTCAAACTCTGACCTCAGGTGGTCCACCTACCTCAGCCTCCCAAAGTGCTGGGATTACAGGTGTGAGCCACCACGCCCAGCCTTAAGTTTCAGAATTTCTTAAAGACAGATAAAATAATTATTTATGTTTACAAATTATTTTTGCTAGGAAGGCTATATGTACATTTTTAGCTAAAAATTTGCATTAGTTTATAATTTTTTAGGATAGAGTACAAATTATTCACAAACTATACAAATATTAATTTTGTATTTTGAGCTTAGCTCTTAGTATTTTCCCTTCATTTATTTTAAAAGACAAATCTTACCTTTTCTGATTAATTCTTTTCCTTCATTAACTAAGTCTGATGTCATATCATCATCTCCCATAAACTGCTGGAAACCAAGCAGATTCAAACAACGGGTTCCCAAACTAATAAAAGCAGATTTTTTAAAAAGACAAGCATTATTTCACATTGTAAGTATTTAGATGAATTATTCTTTAGCATTCTCACTCCCAAAGAAGACTATGCTTCATTATCTGTTATCATATAGTTATCTATAGTCACATCTGACATGTTTCAGGAAGTACCACTTATCTCCCTTTCTAAGAAGCGTATGCCCTGTACTTCACTGATTAGGGTATGCACTATATTCAGGTTTCTTATAGATGTCACTTAAGTTATCGGCATACCTTCAGAAAACAATTATACCAAGACAATAAAATGATAACTATAATAATGTAAGAACAACTTTTTTCCTCTGATCTAGTTAACCATTTAAATAGCTTTTCTATACCATAAATTGATTACTATATCTTATCTGAAGACTATTACATTGCATCTTATTTGCTATTTACTTTAAATTTGATTGTTGTACAAGACAATCATACTGAAAATATGGAAAACAAGGAAGGAAATGATAGGTGAACAGGCAGGATTAATATTTGTTAAGATCCAACTATACATCAGACAATTTACAGATGCCTTCTTATTTAATTTTTACTATCATTCTAAGAGATAAATATCACTTTACAGATGAGAAAATAGGCCTAAGTGGTTAATACTTTGCTAAAGATCACTTAATAAATGACATATCTTATCCCAGCCAAAACACAAATCAAGCAGCTTTTTAAAATTATATTAGTTCTCAAATTTTTTCAATGATGTACTTCTACGCAGAGGGAGGCAAAGGGAGGAGGAGAAAGTGGTGAAGGAGAGAAAGAGAGACAAAGGAAAAACAGAAAAGCAATTTAGAAAAAGTGAAGCTCTCCATTCCATTTTGCAGTCAAAATGTATAAATATTTAGCTAATCCATAATATATCTACTTGTTTCATTCATATAAAAATGTTTTTTATGTATTACCATTGGGTAAAATTGGGGTTTTGTAGATGATCATGTTAATTCTCTGACTTCAAATATTTCCTTACCATCTTCATATCCTTACGGGAGTACTAAACTCCCAGATGAGAAGCCCAGAATTAGATCATCCTCTTTGTGAAGGTTTTATCTTTGTCTAAAGTGTCAGGAAACAATATTATACTCTCTAAGCAGGTAAGTCTGGATATTCACTTTGGGTGTGGCTGTATTGCTGATAGTGTGGAAATCAGTCTCATTATGGCAGCATTTCAAATGAAAATGAACTTATAAAATCAACCTATCATTGAGATGTCAGTAAGGCATTGTTTCATGTATTTCTATAACATAACATCTGTTTTCTGAGTTAATCTGAAAATTAAAAAATACAATCTTTTTTTTCTCCTAAAGATAAAATAGAACTGAAAGTTTATCCAATTAACTCTAGAAAGACTTTTAATGATATTTAAGTTTAACAATTTTCCTTTCAGACATAGTGATTCCTTATAGCTAAGATTTTATAGTTGACAGAGCACTATTCTACCCCATATCACTTGATCTATATAACCATCTAATAAGGTAAAAAGAAACGCTAATCTTGCCAACATAACTGCTAACATTAAAAAATCATTTTACATTACAAGTTCTTAATGTTCTATTTTATAAACTTTTCAAATGAGTAAGAACGTAATAAAAACTTAGTTTCAGAAACACAAAGTATGACTAATCTCTTCTTTTAATACATCATTTTCATACTGTAGATTTGTTACTATCTTCTCCACCTTAAAGAAAACATTTAAAATATTAGATTTGATATTATTGATCAGTTCATAT